GTCCTGCAGGACAGCAGCCTGGTTCAGGGATGTGTGGTGTAGGACAGCAGGCCTGGTCAGGGTTGGGTCATCCATAGAGTCACAGGGTGCTGTTAGGACCGTGGATCTGGTTCTGGGATGTGTGGTCCATGGAGCCACAGGGTCATGCTAGAAGGACACCGAGTTTTCATGATTTGTTGTCTTGTCACTCACTGTCCTGAAATTATTAATAAGAAGCCCCACTTTTTCATTTTGCAATAGATCTAACAGATTATCTGCTGAGCTTTTCTTGGTATTTTGAAAGGAAGAGGGTGTTCAGGTGAGCATGGAGACATGCTCCATGCTGCAGGCAGAGAGAGGTATTGTCTCAGTTCTGCTGAGCATGACAGGAGTGCGGGCTCCTTCATTTTTTGGTGCTGTAAGGTGTCACCAGAAATTGGTTGATACCAAGAAGAGGAGCCTGAACCGGGAAGATTTGCTAGCTTGAAGGAAATCCTATGTAGGGAGAATTAGATTCCCCATCTAACCATAATATTGTAAGAACATTGTAGCAGGGATGTTCAGCTTTCTTCATTTCTTCAGACAGGTGTGATTAGAAGGTATTTATTGCTGTCAAATTATTATTCATAATCCTCTGAAATGTGAATCTAAACGTCACTTCACTCCACAAGGCTGATATCCCTTTCAGCCTTGCATCTTGTTAACTTTTTTTGGTGAAAGATACTGAAAATCCACACCTCGGTTATAATGTGGATTCCTGGGGCAGAGGACAAGGGTAGCTTGACAGGTCAGATGGAGGAGGTCACCTTGTTTTCTGTGCAGGTGTCATCAGAAAGATCAAGAGAGTAAAAAAGAATCACTTGCAGATGGATTTCACAGAATAGGTTGGTTCTGGGTGCCACATGATGAAGCCAGTTTGCTGCGCCTTTCTGTTCTGGTCCTCACCTTCTCTGTCACTGTTCCCAAGCCTGAGGCCATGGTGAGTAGGCTCACAGCTCACGCTGCCAGGCTCCTGATGTTAGTGAGGCCTGTGCTCTTGACACATGGGGCTTAGAGTGTCGGATGCACACGCCTCAGCCGAGAGCTCTTCCGTGAAGCTGCGGATGTCTGCCTTTGCCCTGGTGGCTTCCTGGCATCCAGCAGGGGTCAGGCCACCACTCCTGTGGCCCTGAGGCCATGGAGTTGCATCCGACTTCCTGAACACTCTCGAGGCTGTCGGGAACGGAGGACCACATGTGTCCTCACAAGGACGTCTCCTAATCCCTGTTATGATTCTGTCCCTCCCATTTTCCACTCCTTTGCATTAAGGGTGAGTTTTGCCTGTGATGCACGGTGTACAGAAGCACATTTCTTTGTAGGGATGTGCCGAAGTCTGGCTTGGCACAAATCAGGAGCCACTTGTCAAAAAGAAACTAACTTTATTTTTAGAACTACAAACGCCAAACAAAACAGCTCCAGGGAAAAACCCTCAGAGCCCAACTGCCACCACCGGCTTCCACAAGCCTCTCTCCCCCACACCAGCCTCCCAACCTCCCACAATCCTCCTGCTCTTGAGGCCGATTGGCTGGGTTGCGTGGGCAGAGCCAAAGAAGTCACCCAATGAGCAGCTCCGTGGAGGAGCCAATCAGCTAGATGTTGCTGGGGCCGCTGTGAGCCAATCATCAGCTGGCAGTCTGAAGGGCAGGGAAACAGCCCAATGAACATCACCGCAGAGGAGCCAATCAGCTAGATGTTGCTGGGGCCACTGTGAGCCAATCATCAGCTGGCAACTGGAAGTTTGCTGGCAGCTGGATCATCAGCTGGCAGCTGGAAGTTTGCTGGGGCCCCTTTGGCTGTGGCTCTCAACAGGGATGCCCAGTTGTTTCAGCATAGTTTGCAGAAAGAATGCTTTTTCTCCCCCTGAATTCTCTCTGCAGGCTTTTGGAATGCTTGTTGGTTGATTAGTGTCAATGGAGCTCTTGAAGATAGGTAGCTTTGATGCAATAACTTTTCTAAGATTTGGTGTCAATCCTTGGTCTTTTGCATTAACTTATAAATTTTAGATTCACATTTTCAATTCCTACAGAAACACCTGCAAGAATTTTCCTTGCATTTGGGTCAAATTTATGGATCAGCATGGGGAGGCTTCGTTAACGATATTGTGCCTTGAACCCAAGAATACACTCCATGTTTCCATTTGTTTAGGTCTTCAAAAATTTTGTCCCACCAATGTTTTGTTGATTTTTAGAATGTGAGTCTTACATTTTTTTTGTCAGACTTTTTACTAAATATTTCAAAAAACTTGTATCATTTTAATTAAAAAAAATAATTTCCCTAAACTTGGTTGCTGCTATCTAGGGTATCTTTGATTTCCGAGGCTTGATCTTGTGTCCTACAACTTTGCTGTGGCCAGTGGTTGGTTAGATGAGTTCAGACCCTCCATGGCGTTTTCCCCACGGAGGGAAATGTCACCTGTCAAGGGGCAGCTCTCGGTCTTCTTCCATCCTAGCTGGCTCCCACTCCTTTTGCCCTGGCTGGATCTGTTGGGTCAACTTGGTGAGACGAGATAAAGTGAATATTTATTATTCACTTTTTATTAACTAATGCAGAAGATTTTATTAATTTTAGCCAAAAGCATTCGGGATGTCTTGTAGACTCATGTCTTGCTGCTTCATCTAGTCTGCCTTTAAACTGGGACATTAAAGTGTTCACACTTATTTCCATGATTGCTTGTAGGGTCATGTGGAAGCCCACCCTTTGGCTCTGTTTACTAGTGCCCTCTACTCCCCTTTGCACTTTTTCTGCCTTCTTAGGGATTCTTTTCTATGGTTGAGGTTTATCTGCTCATGGTATTATGCACTGTGTTTGGTATTTTGGTGGTTGTGTTCCTATTTTAGGGTATAACTTTGGCTTATCCCAGTCTGGTTTCCACAACATCCCACCTTCATCATACAGCTGGAAACACGACGTTCTATTCTCTTCTCCCTCTCAGCACATTTTACATTTACATAGATCATAAGCCCTAAGCTCCGTCCTTACCTTAAATGCTGAACTGGATTTTAAAGCTGTTTCCGCAATATGCACCTTCATCCCCGTTCTGACGTCTTTGCCTGTGGAGGCCCCGGGCTCCCTGGTGCTGCACTCAGGGCTTTAGCATCGTTTTTCTCCTCTGTTCTCTTTTGTGGGATTTGTGTGACGTCACCAGGCGCTCTGCTCTTTCCTTCTGTGACATCTCGTCTGCTCTTAGGTGCATCTCGGCCTCGTGGGGCCTCCCATCTCCACAAGTCACCGGAGTCTCCCTCCTATCTTCCCTGACTGGCTGCATTTGAACAGGTCTCCCTCTTCGGACGGTTCCCTTGGCCAGTTTTTCTCTTACCGTGTGTCCCGGGGTCTGCTCCTCTGCGTTCCTGGGAATTTTTGTTGGATTCTAGACAGGAAATTCTGCCTTGCAGGGTACTGAACATTTTTGTATTTCTGAAAATAATCTTGAGTTCTTGGGGGACCATTGCTATTTGGAAACAACGTGACACTTTCAAGACTTGAATGTAAGATTTCTTAGGCTGCAAGGCAGAGCAGGACTTCATTTAGAACTAACCATCCCTCCACGGAGGGGAGACACACCTGGAAGGCCACACAGGCCCGTGCTGTGTACAGGGAACGGGCACCCATCTGGCCACTGTGAGCTCCAAGTGCTCCTCCTTCTCTGGTGGTCACTCCCTGACCTCAGGGAGGTTCCTGGAAGGCGGGTCCAGCTGCAGGCTTGAGGGGCCTTTTGTCTTTGTGCAGCTCCTGACGTCTGATGAGCCCGCCCGTGACCTGTGGCTCTCTCTGTGCCATGGACCTCCCTGGAGGCCGTGAGTGGGAACCACAGCAGGGCTTGTCTGGTGTGCATCTGGACTTTTAGTGGTCAGTGGTCTTGTCTTTCTTTTCTCTAATTGAGTTTCAACAATAAGGTGATTCTGGTCTCTGTCCCTTAGAAGCAGAAGTATTACCATGATTTCTTAGTAATTGTACTATCAGTTTTGAAGAGGTGGATAGATTTGCATGACAGGATTTCTGGCCAGAATATTGATTCTGAGGAGGGAAATCTGTTCAGGGCCATTCAGATCCTATAAAAAGGACATGGTTTACAACCCAGAAGTTTTATTCATCTATGAATAGGTCTTTTTAAAAAATAATTTTACTAATTTGCACTTGGTATTAATACAAAATAGAAATATACACTTGAAAACATTAATAAAAGGTCAGAATGATTTTTATAACTCTGTGCAAAATGAATATCTCGAAGTTTTGAAAAGTGCTGAAAATTCAAGGTGGTAGCAGGAGAGCATTTATCAAAGCACAAGACCATTCAGGCACAGCTGCCAGCTGTGTACCCTTTCACTGACTGGGGCTTGTCACATTCATCTGGGTTTTAAAATAAGAACAAAGTAAGGTCCTAGATGATTTGATTTAATAGGTTGTGAAATATCTATAAAATACCATGAAGTCATTAAAATTGATGTCTGAAGACATTCTAGTTTCACCAGTTAACCTGCCGTCTGGCCTGTAGTGATGTGCCTGTGAGTCTCCTGCAGACAGTTTCAGAATGATTAGAGATTCAAGTTCAGTAGATCTTGCAGTCTCTTGTCTATCTCAGATGCAATAAAATGGCTAAACTTTATTCTTTTGGGCAATTAAGGATTGTTCATGCTTTGAAGTAGAAGTGTAATATGATCGAATCTGTGTTTTAGAAAAAACAATTATTGAGAATGGCCCAAGATTTTCTGATATTCCTACCCACGTGGCGGAAAACCAATGGGTGAAATAACACTTTTTAGCCTGAGATCTTCCCCGCCTTATCCTTTTCGTTTCCACTGTCGGTGGGCCCAGTTCCCTGTCAGTGTGACTTCTGCCCCTTCTTCGGGTTAGCGGGGGAGCGTGAACACGTTTGTTCCCGTTTGGCTCCCCTCTTTCAAAGCTGATGGTAAAACCGTCCATCTGTGGACATTAGCAGTAGGTCACACCGGGCCACAACTGTGTTTTCTTTTTCCGTCTTTCAGTGTGCTCGCTATGACAATGCCTTCATCGCAGAGGTCCTGATTGACAGAGGAGTCAACGTCAACCACCAGGACGAGGACTTCTGGACGCCAATGCACATCGCTTGTGCATGTGACAACCCTGACATTGTCCTGCTGCTTGTCCTGGTAAGCCACTCAATTCTGTTTATCTGCCATCTCAAGACTTGGTGGCCCGCACCAGCCTATGTATTTAATGACCTTCACCAGGTTTGCTATTGCGTTTGAGGGAAATGTCCTCATCTGTGCACCTAGAACACGGGATCATGAGTATCTGAGGCTGGGGGTCACGTGGTGCTAAGCTTGTGGTGATGTCAGGCCAAGCTTGACCCCTCTTGCCTTTCTTTGCAAATGCATGATTGACACAGGTCAGTGCTGGCTGAAATGGGGTGTTGGTTGCATTTTTCAATTCACTATCATTTGTTAAATTTTTAGCTAAATGGGCATGCGATCATATGGAAATGTGGCTTTTATTGCATTTCTGATGGTTTTGCCTAGCGCAGTACTGCCCACAGCATTTGTACGTGAACATGGAAACTTCAGCAAGCAGTGGAGTTTGCTGTCTGTTGCTTTCTCTTACATCTTAGACCTGGCACTAATGCCCACACATATCAGTTGGGAATCAAGACTATTTTATGATGAGTTCATCTCTTAAAAGGGTTTTAAGAACCTATGACAGATTTTTTTTAAGCATACTGGTGTATAAGAAGAAGCATGATTTGGGTTCTTCCTATTATTAATAAAAATCGTGATTCCCTAATGACTTCCTCTTTTGCGCCTGGCTTTTCACACACATCTTCTCACCAAAGCTCTCGTGATTTTACACGCAAAAAAATTTTGTTCAAATATTTTAAGCAGCTTCCCATATGCCGAAAACAAACCCTAGAATTGCACTCGGGTTCCCTGAGCAGAGCCCATCATTTTGGGGTCCGCCTGCACTCACTGCCTCTGCTGCCGTAGCAGATGCCCACCTGCTTGGGGGCTGAACCCTCACACCAGGGAGTCAGAGGTCTGAAATGGGTGCCACGCTGCAGCCCTCGTGGGCTCCACGGAGAGCCCTTGGCTGGTCCTCGAGTCCCTGGGCTGGTAGATGCCCCACTCCAGTCTCCAGTCTCTGCACCCGTGTCCACGTCACCGTCTCCTTTCCTTTCTGAAGGCATTAGACATTGGATTCAGGGCCCCAGCTAATGCAGTAGGACCTCATCTTAACTGGATGACACCTGTGAAGACTTTATTTCCAAGTAAGGGAACATTCCTAGATACCAGTCGTGGAACTTCCATGTATCTTTTAATGGAACAAAATTAAATGACTACATTGTCCCCTGCCTCCATTTTTAGAATTAGAAGCAGAGACATTTGAGCATTAAACACTATAAACTGGGACTTCTTTTTTTTAAATTTGTTTTCATTGAAGATGGACACAATACCTTTATTTTATTTGTTTATTTTTATGTGGTGCTGGGGATTGAACCCAGGGCCTCATGCATGCTAGACAAGTGCTGCACCCCTGAGCCATAACCCTGGCCCCTGGGACTTCTTTAATCTTGTAAGAGGATTAATTTCATCTTAATTTTTCTCATTTGTCCTGTAAGATCTTTTCTAAAGTGGGGATATATGTCACTGAAAATTTTTTTATTATTATTATTTAAATACTTTAAGATGGAGACTGTGTTAAATTAAAAAGGAAGGACAAAAGAAATAAAGATCAGCTTGGAATAGAAACTTTGGGAGTGCTCATTCTCTACATGAAAGGATGTAGAAGCTACTGAACTAGGAATATAATATTTATTTAGAATCTTTATTAGAATCTTAATTTTGACAAAATAGAGCCTAAGAGGAATGACTGGCGGCAGGAAGGCCGAATGTGTGTGCAGTAGTCCAGAAGAATGAGGGCACACAGCCAGGGCCCTGGTCTCCTCTGAGGGACACCGTGCAGGGAGAACATCCAGTCTTTAGGATGCTGGGAGCTCGTGGAGCGTGAGGCTCTGCTGGGTGAGAGGGGCTCAGCTGGCGGTCCTTGCTCAGTGCCCTTCTGGACAGTTCAGTCCCTGGATGACGGGCGTCAGGTGGCTGGTTTCGGGCTGTGAGAATGGGGGTGCACGTTGCATCCTGACTTGTGTGTTCTGCTTGTGTTCTGATTATTCCTGAATATGGGAGACACCAAAATATTCTCAAAACCTGTTTCCATTTACTTTCGTTAATTGTTATTAATTACACTAAACCTTTTGCCAAAAGAGGCTATTTTAATTTTCCCTGCATACACAATGGTCCTATTTATTCTCAAAAGTCAGTGTTCATTTCCTTAGTGAAAGTGGTGGCCCAAGACTTCACCTTCTTGAATTCAGACAGGTTCGTCGGCTGTAGTTCATTGCCAACCCAAACTTTCTCCCTCAGTTCTCACATGTCTCACCTCCTAATTTATGATGGCACAGGGCGGGAGGGTCTCCTTGAATCCAGGCCTAGACCCCGGCAGCCCGCCTCACCTGCAGCATGTGGTGTCATCGGAGAGCAGAAGCGTCAGACATCACCAGGGGACTAAAGGAAGCAAGCCACGGAGGCCACCCTGAGGGCAGAGGCACGTGTTCACGGCCAGAGCCAGGCTTCCGCAGGCCTCCAAGACTGCGCCTGGGTGTCACCGTGCCAGGTGGCGTGTGACTCGGCTCTCCCCAGGAGCTCTTTGAATGGAAGAGGAAATGTATATTAGCTTTGTTTTTACTGAATTTGCACAAGATCTTCCAAACAAATCGGAGGCAATGGCACTGATCCCAGTCTCCAAAATATATTCTTAGTAAAAGGGATGACTATTTTGAAGAAACGGCAGATTCTCACCCAACTTGGGATACCTTCACCTCATTGGCACACCCAGTGGGAGCTCCATTGGGTTGAGGAGCGTCTCCACGATCCTTTTCTGTGCTCTCTTCTCTCCTCCTCATCCTTGGCAGGTGACCCCATTTGTCCCCAAGGTCATCAGCACACACCTGCCTGCCTTCACGTCTCACCTCATTATGAACATTGCGCTTATTTAAATGAGGACTTATTTTGTCTTGGTTCTCCTGAGATACAAACTAACTCGACTGTCCAGAGGCCAGTTGCCGTCACAGTCAACACCCCCTCTGCCTGCAATGCCTGGCTGGAAGTTGGGTTCAAACCCTCTCACACTAGTGGTGTGTATGAGGAGCTCCGAGTCGGGCATTTACTTTAGAGTTAGCTTCCAGCAAGTCACAGAAGTAGCTAGTGGATGTGAACACAGCTATCTGTCAGAACTGCACCCCGCACTGAGTTGACCCTCAGTGTACTCCTGCTGGGTCCATGAATCGATGGGTGTGTGAGCAAAGGGCCACTTCTGGAAGTCAGCCTGAACTGGAAGCTATCCATATTAACTCATGTTTAGGAAAAGGAATTGTGTACCGTCTTCATAATTTTATGTGTCCTGGCATTCCTATGCTATGCAGTGTTTTGTTTTTGGTTTTTGTTTTTGCCATTGACTGTTTCTTTGTTCATTAATTATACATGATATTGAGGTTCATTTTGATGTAATTTGCTCCATTTCAACCTTTAGAGCTCTTCTCTCCCTTTCTCCCATCCCCTAATACCCTTCTTTTACTGTCAGTCCTCCTTCTACTTATTCATCATTGTTTTAAGTGGTTGCATCATAGTTTTACTGGAAGCTGGAGCACACTGTGCATATTCATACAAGCACATGCAATAATTAGCTCAGTTCTATTCTGCAGTTCCTCCCCTTTCCCATTCCTCCTCCCTTCCCCTCAGTCTTCTTTCTCCTAATCATCCTTGAATTTAATTTAGAGGTCCTTGCTTCAGCACACGAATTGTCTCATTATCTGATGTTTCTTGTCTTTAAAAGGTGGAATTGAAAAGGAGAAACTGGCTTTATTTCATGTATGATTATAGAGTAAAATCTGCACTTTCCAGGTGATTGAGAGCCTTCTCGTGTCTCTGCAGGGCTGGTTCTCACGCCACAGAATCGCCCACCTCATGTAGAAGGGATGTATCTGCTATTACTCATCCAGAAGGTGTACCTTCAGACCACCATCTTCATTCACATTCCAAGGAACGTGATTGTTCACTATGGATGACACGGGACTGTCCCAAGGGAACTAGTTGGCTCCTTCCTTCACACTTTCTCCAAGAATGTATTAAGTGATGAGTTCTAGATGCTGCACAGTGAACAAGACCTCTTCCATTCTAGAGTAATGGCAAAAATGAACGGAGCAAGTCATAAAAGTGTACCACTGAGAGGTTTGATTGATGGATGGACCAAGTCCGAGTAGCCTTTGGTACACAGTGCTAGCGTGAGCCCAGATATCCATCCGTAGATGTAATTCACTTTTGAATAAATTTTGATGAAATATGTTGCCATAAAAATTCTAATTGCTATGAAAATATGTTCCTGCCAACAACCTCAAAAGAGAGATTTATTCTTCTTGCAGACTTAAGTGCCATTGTACGTGGTTTAGTGCCGCATGTTCAATGTTTCAGTTCCCAAAGTATTTGAGTGCCTACTGTTTCTGCTAAAGGGAGTCAGCAGTTAGCAAACGAAGCAGATTTTTGTTTTGTCAGTTTTTAAAAAATTGTTTCTTTTGTTTCAATTTCATTGATTTTTAGCTAGCTCTGATTTTAATTATTTCCTGTCTTCTACTGCTTTTGGTATTGATTTATTCTTTTTCTAGGGCTTTGAGACATAATGTTAAGTCATTTATTTGTTGACTTTTCTTCTTTAAGGAATGAACTCCATGCAATGAACTCTTCTCTTAGAACTGCCTTCACAGAACTTCACAGAACTGTCCCAGAGACTTCAATATGTTGTATTTGTGTTCTCCTTCAACTCTAAGAATTCTAATTTCATTCCACTATAATAAGATAGAATGCAGGGTAGCCTCTCTACTTTTTTATATTTGCTAAGATTTACTTTGTGGCATAGTATGTGGTCTATTTTAGAGAAAGATCGTTGTGCTGCTGAGAAGAAAGTGTACTCTCTTGTTGAAGAATGAAATAGTCTATATTTAAGTTAAGTCTAAGTTATTGATTGTATTATTGAGTTCCATAGTTTTTTTTGTTCAACTTTTGTTTGGAAGATTTATCCAGTGGTGAAAGAAGTGTGTTAATGTTAC